TGTTAAAATGCAATATATAAGTGTTTACACAGCTTTATGTACAGCCATGTGAATACATTTAAATCCATTATAAATCAATTTATCTGTCAGTTTTAGCTGTCATGTATTGAGCTAGTTAAAGACTTCACATATGTGTCTATATCTCTGATCACTGGCTTCAGCTACAGTAAGGAGAATATGTGCTTGTTCGCTTCTTAATGTAAACAGCGTTGGGAGATTTGTTTGCACAATCACAAAACACAATGGCAGAGCCAGATGAGGAGCCAACAACAATATCCTGTTTCATACATGCTGTCCTGTTTAGCATTTCAGGCACAACATTTTAAAATGAGACAGTAATGCATGCTATTGTCCTCGCTGGCTAGAGGAAACAAACTGAGATGTGCTCGGTCTATCCATAATAAACAGTCCGCAATTTACTGGAATTACGCTGGGAGTGCAGTAGGTGCAGATATAAATGTGTGTTCATGTTTGTTTGCGCTTATGAAATGCTAACTTTATTTGAAATAGATGAAATATTGAGTTTGAAATTAAAAGAGTGATTGTCTGGAAAAATCATTTCCTGCGTCCAAAGAAACTTAAGCTGTAAATGTTTGATTTAACAGCAAAACATCTCTATTCTAGCTCTGAAGAACATTCATTCATTCAATAATGTGTTTGTTTGTTTATTAATTAATTAATTTGTTTGTTTGTTTCAAACAGCACAATATCTCAATTCTACCTCTTAAGAACATTCACTGTTAGCATTAGCTTTAGCATTGAAATCCATAAGCTGTAGCGCGCCTCTGGCAGATCAAACTCATGGAGAGCAGGGCAGTCTTTAATATAAAATCATGGAGAGCAGAGCAGTCTTTAATATAAATTCACTCGGAAAACAGGCAGGATAACTCAGGAATCATGCAAGCAAACATGTAACATAGACAATAACTGGCAAATTAACTGGGGAAAAATCAGGACTTAAGCTGTCCTCGCGCCATAAACAGTCCAACAGAGGAGATAGGGTGGGGGTTCAGAAGGCGGCCGTGGGGCAGGCTAGAGGCAGGCAATGGGAAAGGGGCATAGTTCATAAGGCCAGGGCAGAGTAGATGGAGGGAGGTGCCAGGGAGGAGCTTGGAGCAGGAGGAGCCAGGTGGGGAACCAGAGACCAGCCAGGATAGCGACCCACCGTGGGAGGAGCCATGGTGGAGATGGGGCAGTGATGAGGAGGAGCCCAGGATGAAGAAGGAGAGCCGCAGCGTTAGGGTGACACCGAGGATCCGGAGGGCCAAGGCAGAGCTGGTGGATCAGGCAACCAAGGCAGAGGCGAAGACAGGGATCCGGAAGACCACGGCGGAGCTGGAGCGACAGAGGACCAAGGTGGAGCCGGAGGGAGGGAGGAGTCCGGCAGAGCCAGAGGGACGGAGTGACGAGGTGAAGCCAGAGGAATGGAGCCCCGAGCCGACGGATGGTCGACGACTAACCAAGGTGGAGCCGGAGGGACGAGGGAGTCCGGTGAAGCCAGTGGGATGCTGGGCCACGGTTGTGACGAGGGAGCTAGGATCCAAGGTGGAGCCGATGGATCGAAGGACCGATGTGGAGTCCAGGACTCGGAGGCTGGAGGCAGAGACAGGGGATCCTCATGCCTAGGCGGAGCTGGAGACTGGAAGTCCAGAGGCAGATCAGAGCTCCCAGATTGGGCTGACTGGGGGTGAGCTGAGGGACTGACAGGCACCAGCGGAGATAGGGCTGAGGAACTGTCTGGTTTTAGAGGAGGCGGGAGAGGGAGGCTGGGTGGGAGCTTAGGAGACTCAGGAGAGCTGGATGGAACCAGCGGAGTCTCAGGAGAGCTGGTCATTAGCACCCCAAACCAGTCTATCAAATCCTCTTGATTAAAACAGTCCATTAATTCCTCAAAATAGCTCCCAGAGACCAATTGCAGCTCATCCTCAGTGGTGGGAATGTGGACAGGGCTTCCCTCCAAGACCTTGATCTCCACGAGGACTCCCACGGCGATACACGGCGTTGCTGGCTCACACACCTGGTCAGTCACGTCGTCGAGCTCAGGTTCCGGGGCGATGTTCTGCTCTGTCGCTTTATTCGGTGCTGACGCTTTAATCGTGGCGGGTTCTGGCTCTGTGGCTGCGGTCCGTGCAGCGGGATGAAGACTGGCTGGGCTCTGGGTCGGGAGTGATCTAAAGACTGATCAGTCTTTATTATAAATCCACTAAGAAAACAGGCAGGATAACTCAGGAATCATGCAAGCAAACGTGTAACATAGACAATAACTGGCAAATGAACTGGGGAGAACTCAGGACTTAACAACACAGGGACTAATGGGATAATTAATGAGACAACATGTGGGAACAATGAACTGATGAAGACACAGGCAAAACCAGGTCACAACAGAAACTCAAAACACAAAACACAGACATAAGCATTTATGTTTTGTTTTGATTTTTTTTCAAATGGAGGTACACAACTTAACGTTTTATTTAATCAGAATACACGGCTACTTCCCTTGTGGAAGAGAAGTACACTTTAGCATATTTAGGCAAGGCAAGGACAATTACTGGAATATGTATTTATATTAAATACATAAGATTAATATTTTTAATATGCTTTTAAGATCTGAAGTACACTACAAATGCACATTCAATACAATTAATTCAATACATCCTCATCGAGATTGATGATTGGCACGAGAGCAATACCTCAAGCAGACATCCGCCAGCTAAATTCTCACAAGCCACTTGAAAGGCAGTTGAATTGTTTAAGCAAGGGTTAAGGATGTCCCTCAAGAGTGCGACGGTTTCAGGCAATTACACTAAAGTGTATATCAGTGTATCACAAGGGCCACAGCCTTGACACTTCCTTCACCTTTCATGTCACAGATGGGTTTGAAGCACACTCTCTCTTGCCGGAAGCAATCAGGGTTGTTAATAGCCTCTTTGGCCTTACTAGGTCAAGACGTATTCATGAATGAGCAACAGGGCTCCGTAAGAAGAAGGGCTGTTAGTAAAGCTGTCAGAGAACCATCCTCGCAGACATTTGAAGGTGATGCTGTGAAGATTTTGGGTTGAGTCGGGGACATTGGCTAAGAATGTACACAAATTCACACTTTATTATTTTGCCTACATTTATTTGACCAAAAATACCAGGAATATTATGAAATATTATTCTCATTTAAAATAACAGTTTTCTAATGTAATATATTGTGAAAATTAATTTATTTCTGTAATGCAAAGCTGAATTTCAGCAGCATTACTCCAGTCTTCAGTGTGACATGAACTTTCAGAAATCATTCTAATATGATTTGCTGCTCAAATAAATCAATCAATCAATCAATAAAGATAAATAAACAAATACGTAACTAAATATGATCACTGTTGAAAACAGTTAATATTTAATGTTTGCATATTCTTATATACTGTATTTCTGATGCTTTTATACGTGGTTATTGAATGTAAAGACAGTTCATAAAGAACTTTTTTTTTTTTGCATTATAAACATGTTTACTGAAACTTTTTGATCAATTTAACATGTCCCTTGAAAAATATAATTAATTTCTTGCAAACAACAACGACAAAACTATAATAACAAATATTACCTCTCCATTAAAAAAAAATAAATAAAAAATAGACTAGTGTTTATTTTATGCTTACCAAGTTCGTAAAAACAGTAATATTTTGAAATAGTATTACAATTTAAAATAGCTGTTTTCTATTTGAATAT